CCGCTGCTTCGTTAAAGGTCACTTCCTGTTCCCAGGAGGTGGCGCTATGACTGTGGGTGAATGTCGGCATGTAGATTTGTTCAGGGCGGGACTCTTGTCAAACGTGTTAAATTTCGTGCGGATCTGGGCATTTACAGCCAAGTTACTACAACTTCCTGTTTCATGGCGAATCATCGACGCCACGGACACACCCATCGACGAAAACGCGCAGATAGCACAACTTTACATCGTCAATGCCTTTAGAAGGTACAGCAGAAATTTGAAGTTGATCCGACTAAATCCCTAGGAGGAGTTCGTTAAAGTACGGAGTGTGTAAATCTTCCCAAATGGGTGGCCAAATTCAAAATGGCGGACTTCCTGTCGAGTTTAGGGTATGGGTTCTTGAGGCTTTTTTGTGCGTCTGGTCATGGTAGATGCACCACAGAAATTTCGTACATGTCGGTCAAACAAGCGGCGGGGGCTGCTTCATTAAAGGTCACTTCCTTTTGCCAGCAGATGGCGCTATGACTGTGGGTGAATATCGGCATGTAGATTTGTTCAGGGCGGGACTCTTGTCAAATGTGTAAAATTTCGTGCAGATCTGAGCATTTACAGCCAAGTTACTACAACTTCCTGTTTCATGGCGAATCATCGACGCCACGGACACACCCATCGACGAAAACGCGCAGATAGCACAACTTTACATCGTCAATGCCTTTAGAAGGTACAGCAGAAATTTGAAGTCGATCCGACTAAATCCCTAGGAGGAGTTCGTTAAAGTACGGAGTGTGTAAAACTTCCCAAATCGGTCGCCAAATTCAAAATGGCGGACTTCCTGTCGAGTTTAGGGTATGGGTTCTTGAGGCTTTTTTGTGTGTCTGGTCATGGTAGATGCACCACAGAATTTTCGTACATATCGGTCAAACAAGCGGCGGGGGCTGCTTCATTAAAGGTCACTTCCTGTTGCCAGCAGATGGCGCTATGACTGTGGGTGAATATCGGCATGTAGATTTGTTCAGGGCTGGACTCTTGTCAAATGTGTAAAATTTCGTGCAGATCTGAGCATTTACAGCCAAGTTACTACAACTTCCTGTTTTACGGCGAATCTTCGACGCCACGGACACGCCCATCGACGAAAACGCACAGATAGCACAACTTTACATCGTCAATGCCTTTAGAAGGCACAGCAGAAATTTGAAGTCGATCCGACTAAATCCCTAGGAGGAGTTCGTTAAAGTACGGAGTGTGTAAATCGTCCAAAAATGGCCGCCAAATTCAAAATGGCGGACTTCCTGTCGAGTTTAGGGTATGGGTTCAGGCTGTGGCTCCTCTTCAACCTATTCAAGCTATATCAAAACCATTTGAGTATTTGCTGGTTGATTGCGTAGGTCCTTTACCTAGATCAAAGACTGGTCACTTGTATCTACTCACAGTTATGTGTTTATCTACCCGGTATCCAGCTGCATATCCTGTCATGTCCATTACTGCAAAATCTATTCTAAAAGCTTTAAAGTCCCCGTGAAATCAAAATTGAACCTATTTACTTTGTTAGCGCATATTACTAGTCTTGTGGTGAACAATTAATCCGTGCAAGTAAAAATATATTAAAAAAATGTTTTACCTTGGTAATCTTTAATCAAAATCTGAAAAGTTACTTCCGGTCTGGAACGGTTTCTTTTTCTGATGACGTAGGTTTCCCAGCTTTGGTGGGGAAAAGCTTAACCGCTCCCCTCAAACCGTTAGTTTACTATGAGCGAGAGATGGAGAGGAGGAGCGCTAGAGTAAAACCCTGCCCTCTGTTCAATATTCCGTTTCACTTGGAAATACGTCACAGCACTGGAGAAAAATCGTTTGCAACTTCCGGTTCACGGGGATTTTAACTTCTTTCATGTCAACATTTGGTATTCCTAGAATTATCCAGTCTGACCAGGGCTCCAACTTTATGAGTCGTCAGTTTGATAAGGCTTTACGTCAGTTGAAAATCTGTCATAAAATTTCCAGTGCATACCACCCTCAGAGTCAAGGGGCCCTCGAAAGATTTCATCAGACCCTGAAGTCATTGCTACGATCATACTGTGTGGAGCTTGGTTCTGATTGGGAGGAGGGGTTGCCTTGGTTGCTTATGGGAGTTAGAGAGGTTACTCAGGAAAGTATTGGATTCAGTCCAAATGATCTGGTATTTGGTCATGAAGTTCGTGGTCCCACTGCGGTTTTATCTGACAACTGGATTCCTTTTGAACCCTCCCAGAATGTTTTGGATTTTGTGAGTGGTTTTCGATACCGGTTGCATGAGGCTCGAGCAATTGCTCAGAGGAAACTGGGGAAGTCACAGTGTAAGATGGAGAGGTTGTTTAACAAACGAGCAGTGGCTCGGAAATTTCAGGTTGGAGACCAGGTACTAGCTTTGTTGCCACTTGTAAGTAATCCTTTTCAAGCCCGTTTTGCAGGTCCTTATCCGGTCCTCAAATGCCTTTCTGGACAGAATTATCTTTTGAAAACCCCAGAACGACGCAAGGGAGTACAGGTTTGCCACATAAATCTTCTGAAGCCTTAATTTCCTCCTACATCTTCTGTGGGGTTAGTAACCACTGTGACTGATTCTTCTCATTTGAGTGGGGAGGGGACTTTCTCTTCAGAGAGTTCCTCCTCCAACTGTATGGGGGATGATTGCATTCACTTTTACTTCTCGAGGAGTTGTCGAAGGACGATTGAATAACTCTGAGATGTTTTCAAAATTTGCCCATCATTTACCCCATCTGTCTCCCTCTGAGAAAAGTGACATTCTTCAGTTAGTGGAGTCTTTTCCTCACTTGTTTTCTGATGTGCCTACTCGTACTAAAGTGATTGAACATGACATTGACGTAGGTTCTGCTTTACCAATTAAGCAGCATGCATATAGGGTAAACCCTGTGAAACGGGACTTGTTGAAAAAGGAGGTGACTTACTTATTAGATCATAACTTGGCTGAGCCCAGTTTTAGTGCCTGGAGTTCCCCCTGTCTTCTTGTAAGTAAGCCTGACGGATCTTACAGATTTTGTATCGTAAGCTTAATTCCATCACTAAGCCAGACTGCTATCCTTTACCCCGCATAGATGATTGTGTGGATAGAGTGGGGTCTGCAAAATTTGTGAGCAAGTTTGATCTCTTAAAAGGGTACTTTTGGCTGGTTCCACTAACTGTTAGAGCAAGGGAACTGTCTGCATTTGTGACACCTGATGACTTTCTTCAATACTGTGTTATGCCATTTGGAGTTCGAAATGCTCCAGCCACCTTTCAACGCCTTATAAATAAGGTGTTGTCTGGATTATCTGACTGTGACGCTTATTTGGACGATGTAGTTCTGTACAGTTCATCTTGGACCGATCTTTTTTAGTCCAAATAAGGGAGTTATTATTTCGTTTGACTGAGGCTTCTTTAACGTTAAATTTGGCAAAGTGCGAATTTGGGAAAGCTACTGTTACCTATTTAGGAAAAATAGTAGGAAATGGACACGTTCGCCCCATTGAAGCTAAGATTGAGTCCATCTGTGCATTTCCAGTGCCTACAAATCGCAAAGAATTGCGTAGGTTTCTGGGAATGGCCGGATATTATCGCGGGTTTTGCCCAAACTTTGCCTCTATTGTATCACCCTTGACCGATCTTATAAGTACTAAAGTACCCTTTAATTGGACCAATGTTACCCAACTGGCATTTGATGGAGCAAAAGCATTGTTGGCTAGTGCTCCTGTGCTTGTTGCACCAGATTTCTCTCAGCCTTTTTGTTTAGCTGTCGATGCCAGCGATACCGGAGCGGGAGCTGTTCTCCTACAGAGAAGTCCGGACGGAATAGAACATCCAGTTTGTTATTTTTCAAAAAAATTCAATGTCCATCAGCGAGTTTACTCTGTTGTGGAAAAGGAGACGCTTGCTCTTGTTTTGGCCATCCAACATTTTGAAATCTATCAGGGATCATCTGCAAGTCTAATCGTCGTTTATACGGACCATAATCCTTTGGTGTTTTTACACAGAATGAAGGATCGTAATCAGAGGTTAATGCGGTGGAGTCTCTTCTTGCAACCATTTTCCCTTGACATTAAACACATTCGGGGCAGTGAAAATGTCATCGCTGATGCCCTATCTCGAGTATGAGGATGTATTTTGTTCTTTCTTTTTTTTTCCCTTTCTCCCTTCCCTTTCTATCCTGTTTTCTAGGGCCCAGGAAGCAGGAGTTAGGAGCCAAGTGGAGTGGGATCAATCATGGAGAATTTGTTTTTGTTGTTTTTTTTTTTTTCTCTTTTGCATTCCTGAGAGGAATACATTTTGTGGGGGAGGTGTTACGCCTGCCTGTTTACCCCTACTGGCTCTGCCACACAGTGCAGACGTTAGTTGGGCAACAGGTGTATTCAATCCCTAATTAACTCCTCATAGGGGTTAGTATAAAGACCTGTGACTTGGTGTGAGAGCTCTCTCATCTCTCACATCTCTCACTCCTCTCTCACATTATTTCTTTAGTATTGTTGGTTTCCCATATTTATTTTTAGTGCCAGATATTGTTTATTTAGTAACCACGCGCGTGTTTTTCCCCCTCCCCTAGACGTCGGTTTTCTTTTTTTTTTTTGATTATTTAATATTTGTTTTGCTTGGTTAATAATAAATTGGTTTATTGTTAAAACATTTGTTGTTTGCCTCTTTTATGTTGCGGTATATGAGCCAGCCGTAACATTGTTCGATTGAGTATTTTAACTTTACAGTAACTTTCAAACTAGTTTCTTTCATGCAATACATTTTCATTACTATCAATGTAAACTTCTGTAACCTTTTCTCTATTTCATTTAAATAGCATTAAAACTCTTGCATAATAACTTTCCTCAAGTCTTTATTAAATGGGACCAAATCCTGTAGAATCTGCTACACTCCTGATTCTCTGCTGTCCATGTGTGACTGTAAGTGTGTGTGTGTGTGTGTGTGTGTGGCTGAGCAGACACTCACAATGGCAGACGAACAGCACGTCATTTACTCCACACTTCTCACACACCGAAGAGTTCATGAAAACAACACACTCTTTTTAATGAATGTCTCTAGATAAGCACAACATTGTCAAAATGATTGATTTATACGTACATATAAACAGAATATACTTAATGAACCACCCTAAACAGAAACTAAATCCCTGTTTTCACTTAATTCGCTATCATGTTTAAATTTAATATCCTTTATCAACTCAAGGTGTGTGTTGTTGTGAAGCCGTGACTCAGGGTGTGTGTGTGTTGTTGTGAAGCTGTGACTCAGGGTGTGTGTTGTTGTGAAGCTGTGACTCAGGGTGTGTGTTGTTGTGAAGCTGTTGCTCAGGGTGTGTGTTTAGCAATGGTTGCGTACGTCACGTCCACAGGAGCCGGAGCCGGAGTTCTGGAGCGCTGGATGAACCGTAGACTGGAGTACTGGACCGGAACTGCCTGGAGAACAACAACAATCAATGCTCATCTTACTCTTACAGCAGTCGAGCACAAGCTACCCAGACAAACATCACAAGACTATATCCCAGAATGCCCCAAACTCAAACTCACCTGTAAATGCGAGTTCTCCTTCACACAGCTGATGCACAAGACCACAGAACAGTCTGAAAGAGAAGCACTCGACTAAAGTCATGTATTAGGTGGAATCCCCTTCAAATAAGTTTTGTTTCATGAAGTTTATCTCACCTTTTCTGAAACAGAGCACACAAGTGCAGAAAAAACCGCAGCACACACACGCAGCAAACACACACACACACACGCTGATCCAGAGCGCAGGACAGCCCACATCTGATGAGGCGTCTGTAACGACAAAACCACATGATCAACAGCAGTGGAAACTACAGCAGATTCACTGGAACACACTAATGAAGGAGAAGAGCTGCGCGCGCGCGCACACACACACACACACAGATATAATCATTTAGAGACTGTCTGTTCCCCAAAAAAAACAAAAAACTTCAAAACCCATCTAAGGGTAAAAATTTGATGTTCAACAAATAAAAAAACAGATAAATACAGATGAACAAATGATAAAGCTTGGGTTGCTGAATATTAGATCCCTTTCTTCAAAAGCACTTATTTTGAAGTGTTGGTGCTTAATGTAAAAATACATAGTGTAAATGATGAATCCCGCTTGAGAGTTGTGCTGGCTACTGTATAAAGGCCACCAGGGCACCATACAGACTTCTGCAGACTTATATATCTATATATCTGCTGACTTTCTATCAGAGTTATTAACGGCTGCAGATAAAGTCCTAATAGTTGGTGATTTTAATGTAGATAATGAAAAAGATGCATTGAGATTGGCATTTAAAGACTTTATAACTCAATTGGAGTTAGACAACATGTGTCAGGACCCACTCATTGTCGTAATCATACTCTAGATCTAATATTATCACATGGAATAGATGTTGATGCCGTTGAAATTCTTCAGCAGAGCGATGACATCTCAGATCACTATCTAGTCTTTCATGCAAACTTCACTTAGCCAAAGCAGCAAAGCCGACTCTGTGTTATAAATATGTTAGACCTATAACTTCAGCCACAAAAGATTGCTTTATCAATAATTTTCCTGTTTTAGTTTCATCATCTCAGCAACCCGGATAGCTTAGAAGAACTCGATATCGTGACAGAAACTTTTAACTATCTCATTGCTCAATGCTCTACTGGGTGGTTGCCCTGCACGCTTAATAAACAAACTTCAGCTAGTCCAAAACGCAGCCGCTCGAGTTCTCACCAGAACCAGGAAGTATGACCATATAGCCCGGTTCTGTCAACCCTGCATTGGCTACCTATTAAACATCGTATATTTTTTTAAATATTGCTGATTACTTACTAAGCACTAAATGGGTTAGCTCCAGTACTTGAGCGAGCTCTTAACGCATTATAGTCTATAATGATACCGTGTATCGGTGTGATCTTCACTGACCTGTGAGTGTGAGTCTGACTGCGGTCCCGAAGTGCATGTTCTTCAGACTGGTTCCAGTAGAGCAGAAGTACAGGCCGAGATCCTCATCTCTGACGCTGAAGATCCTCAGACTCACAGACTCCAGTCGCCCATGGGCCTGAAGCTCAAACTGGCTTCGCTCCATGTTGTGTTCGACTATAAACTCATCTCTCTTCAGGACTCCTCTACTTGCAGACAGCAGTAAAGCCATGTTCTCCCCGGGGCCGAGCCGGAACCAGGCCAGGACAGTGCTGGAGTTACTGTGAGAGTCACAGGGCAGAGAGACGTTCTGCTGGAGCCGGACACTCATGTTCACCGCAGGAACACACACCACACACACCACAGCGAGGCCTGGGGTCAACAACACACAACACACATCAGATCTCCAGCAAGAAGTGTCAGTCATTATAAAGCAACTAGTTTACTCACCAACAAACAGAATCACTCTGAAGATCATCATTCAGTCAGATGGAGTTTGACTCTGAGGGTCTCACTTATGAACACTCATGTTCAACACTCATGTTCAAGATGGGCCAGGCTCACCCTCAGAAGCCACAAAGGGAGCACACACACACACACACACACACACACACAGGCCTGGTGCTGCTGAGAAGGGGAAAAATTTGTTTCAACAACACACTTAAGTTTCGATTTAGAGGGAAAGGAAACTACAGCCCCGTCCACAGACTGCATGAGGAGGAGAGGTTTGGTGAACACACACATACACACAAACACACACACACACACACGCATGCACGCACACAGACACAAACAGACACACTCACACACACCAACATCCCATGCTTTCGTGTTTATATCTGGAACTTCTCCCTGAGGAATGAGCCATGATCTGTGAGTCTGTGCAGGAACAGGAGCGAGAGCAGACCAGAGCAAGTTTTGGTTTCATGTCTGATGTCAGGAGCGCTGAAGGTGGGATTCTGAAACTGAGCTTTTCATTTCACGCCCTTCCTCCAGTTCCTGTGCTCATCGTCAGCCGGCAGAAAACATTCACACAACGTGCCTTCACAGTGATCAGGGTCTCATTTATACCCGTGGCCCGAAACAGGCCTAAAGCCGTACAAAGCAGGCCTAGCCGTATAAAACAGGTCTAGAACCGTACGAAACAGGCCTAGCCGTACGAAACAGGCCTAGAGCCATACGAAACAGGCCTAGCCGTACGAAACAGGTCTAGAGCCGTATGAAACAGGCCTAGAGCCATACGAAACAGGCCTAGCCGTGCGAAACAGGCCTAGAGCCATACGAAACAGGCCTAGAGCCATACGAAAAAGGCCTAGCCGTACGAAACAGGCCTAGAGTCGGACAAAACAGGCCTAGAGCTGCACGAAACAGGCCTAGCCGTACGAAACAGGCCTAGCCGTACGAAATAGGTCTAGAGCCGTACGAAACAGGCCTAGAGCCGTACAATACAGGCCTAGCCGTGCGAAATAGGCCTAGAGCCATACGAAACAGGCCTAGAGCCATACGAAAAAGGCCTAGCCGTACGAAACAGGCCTAGAGTCGGACAAAACAGGCCTAGAGCCGTACGAAACAGGCCTAGCCGTACAAAACAGGCCTAGAGACGTCCGAAACAGAACTAGAGCTGTACGAAACAGGCTTAGAGCTGCATGAAACAGGTCCAGAGCCGTATGAAAAAGGCCTAGCTATACAAAGCAGGCCTAGAGTCGTACGAAACAGGCCTAGAGCCATGTGAAAAAGGGCTAGCTGTACAAAACAGGCCTAGCCGTAAAAAACAGGCCTAGCTGTACGAAACAGGCCTAGCCGTATGAAACTAGAGCCGTTTGATTTTTCACTTTGAAAAATCAAAAGTGCACAGCCCTTTACAGTAAACAGTACAGGCCTAGTAACATTTCATAACTTTGATAATCAAAAATAATCTTTGCATTAATGAAACATAATAATTAGGGCCCGAGCACTAACAGTGCGAGGACCCTTTTGAAACTGTTAGGGTTATTTTTTTTTTCTTTTTTAGGGCCCGAGCATTAACAGTGCGAGGACCCTATTGAAACTGTTAGGGTTATTAGGGCCCGAGCACTAACAGCGCGAGGACCCTCTTGAAACTGTTAGGGTTATTTTTTTTCTTTTTAGGGCCCGGGCACTAACAGTGCGAGGACCCTTTTGAAACTGTTAGGGTTATTTTTTTTTTCTTTTTTAGGGCCCGAGCATTAACAGTGCGAGGACCCTCTTGAAACTGTTAGGGTTATTAGGGCCCGAGCACTAACAGTGCGAGGACCCTCTTGAAACTGTTAGGGTTATTTTTAGGGCCCGAGCACTAACAGTGCGAGGACCCTATTGAAACTGTTAGGGTTATTTTTTTTCTTTTTAGGGCCCGAGCACTAACAGTGCGAGGACCCTCTTGAAACTGTTAGGGTTATTAGGGCCCGAGCACTAACAGTGCGAGGACCCTATTGAAACTGTTAGGGTTATTTTTAGGGCCCGAGCACTAACAGTGCGAGGACCCTATTGAAACTGTTAGGGTTATTAGGGCCCGAGCACTAAAAGTGCGAGGACCCTATTGAAACTGTTAGGGTTATTTTTAGGGCCCGAGCACTAACAGTGCGAGGACCCTATTGAAACTGTTAGGATTTTTAGGGCCCGAGCACTAAAAGTGCGAGGACCCTATTGAAACTGTTAGGGTTATTTAGGGCCCGAGCACTAACAGTGCGAGGACCCTATTGAAACTGTTAGGATTATTTTTTTATTTTTTTAGGGCCCGAGCACTAACAGTGCAAGGACCCTATTGAAACTGTTAGGATTATTTATTTATTTTTTTTATTTTTTATTTTTTCTGCAAAGTAAGCGCCATTTTCAGGAAATTTTCGCCATTTTTGAAAAATTTCGTATTTTGTGGGTTTCGCGGATGGGCGTGGCAAAATGGCCTAGAGCCACCTAGAAAATTGCTAAAAATTAGCCCCTCGTCCACGTTCAACCTACAAGCACGAAATTTGGTGGGGATGTGTATCATATCAAGACGCACAAAAAAGCCTCAGGAACCCATACCCTAAACTCAACAGGAAGTCAGCCATTTCTAATTTTACTGCCATTTTTGGATGATTTACTCATTACGTACTTTAACAAACTCCTAGGGATTTAGTCGGATCGACTACAAATTTCTGCTGTGCCTTCTAAAGGCATTGACGATGTAAAGTTGTGCTATCTGCACGTTTTCGTCGATGGGTGTGTCCGTGGCGTTGATGATTCGCCATGAAAGAGGGAGTTGTAGTAACTTGGCTGTAAATGCCCAGATCTGCACCAAATTTTACACATTTGACAAGAGTCCCGCTCTGAACAAATCTACATGCCGATATTCACCCTAAGTCATAGCGCCACCTGCTGGCAACAGGAAGTGACATTTAACAAAGCAGCCCCCGCCGCATGTTTGACCGGAATGTACGAAATTTCTGTGGTACATCTACCATGGCCAGACGCACAGAAAAGTCTCTTGGAGTGATGCCTTAAACTCAACAGGAAGTCAGCCATTTCTAATTTTACCGCCATTTTTGGATGATTTACTCATTACGTACTTTAACTAACTCCTCATAGGGATTTAGTCGGATCGACTTCAAATTTCTGCTGTGCCTTCTAAAGGCATTGACGATGTAAAGTTGTGCTCTCTGCCCGTTTTCATCGATGGGCATGTCCGTGGCCTCGATGATTCGCCATGAAACAGGAAGTTGTAGTAACTTGGCTGTAAATGCCCAGATCTGCACGAAATTTTACACATTTGACAAGAGTCCCTCCCTGAACAAATCTACATGCCGATATTCACCCACAGTCATAGTGCCACCTAGTGGCAACAGGAAGTGACCTTTAACGAAGCAGCCCCCGCCGCACGTTTGACCGACATGTACGCAATTTCTGTGGTACATCTACCATGTCCAGACGCACAGAAAAGTCTCTTGGAGCGATGCCCTAAACTCAACAGGAAGTCAGCCATTTCTATTTTTACCACCATTTTTGGATGATTTACTCATTACGTACTTTAACGAACTCCTCCTAGGGATTTAGTCGGACCAACTTCACATTTCTGCTGTGCCTTCTAAAGGCATTGACGATGTAAAGTTGTGCTATCTGCGCATTTTCGTCGATGGGCGTGTCCGTGGCGTTGATAATTCGCCATGAAACAGGAAGTTGTAGTAACTTGGCTGTAAATGCCCATTTCTGCACCAAATTTTACACATTTGACAAGAGTCCCGCCCTGAACAAATCTACATGCCCACATTCACCCACAGTCATAGCGCGACCTAGTGGCAACAGGAAGTATGCTTTAACGAAGCAGCCCCAACCACGTTTGACCGACATGTACGAAATTTATGTGGTGCATCTACCATGTCCAGACGCACAGAAAAGTCTCTTACAGCGATGCCCTAAAGTCAACAGGAAGTCGGCCATTTATAATTTTACCGCCATTTTTGGATGATTTACTCATTACGTATTTTAACTAACTCCTCCAAGGGATTTAGTCGGATTGACTTCACATTTCTGCTGTGCCTTCTAAAGGCATTGACGATGTAAAGTTGTGCTATCTGCGCGTTTTTGTCGATGGGCGTGTCGATGGCGTCGATGATTCGCCATGAAACAGGAAGTTGTTGTAACTTCAGTGTACATTCTCAGACCTGCGCAAAATTTTATACGTTATACAACTGTCCTGCCCTGAACATATGTACATGCCAAAATTAGACCACAGTCATAGCGCCACCTTCTGGCAACAGGAAATGACCATTTTTAATCAACTTCAAATTTCTGCTGTGCCTTCTAAAGGCATTGATGATGTAAAGTTGTGCTATCTGCGCGTTTTCGTCGATGGGTGTGTCCGTAGCGTCGCAGATTCGCCATGAAACAGGAAGTTGTAGTAACTTGGCTGCAAATGCCCAGATCTGCACAAAATGTTACACATTTGACAAGAATCCCGCCCTGAACACATGTAGATGCCGAAATTAGTCCCCAGTCATAGCGCCACCTGCTGGCAACAGGAAGTTACCTTTAACGAAGCAGCCCCCGCCGCACATTTGACCTACATATGCGGAATATGCAACGTGGCTGCCTCACACCCCGACGTGCTACAGGTGCGAGGGCCCGCCCATCGCTGCTTGCAGCTTTAATTAGGGCCCGAGCACTAACAGTGTGAGGACCCTATTGAAACTGTTAGGGTTATTAGGGCCCGAGCACTAACAGTGCGAGGACCCTATTGAAACTGTTAGGGTTATTTTTTTTAAGGGCCCGACCCTATTGAAACTGTTAGGATTATTATTATTATTTTTTTTCTTTTTTCTTTTTTCTGCAAAGCCATTTTCGGGGCCGCAACATGCTCAAAAACTCACCAAATTTGGCAAGCATGTCAGGACTGGTGAAAAATTTAGTATTTTGTGGGTTTCGCGGATGGGCGTGGCAAAATGGCTCCCTAGCGCCACCTAGAAAATTGCAAAAAATTAGCCCCTCGTCCACGTTCAACCTACAAGCACGATATTTGGTGGGGACGTGTATCATTTTTAAGATGCACAAAAAAGCCTCAAGAACCCATACCCTAAACTCAACAGGAAGTCGGCCATTTTGTATTTGGCGCCCATTTTCGGACGATTTACACACTCCGTACTTTAACGAGCTCC